TTTCCTTCTCATTTTCCATCTCCCTGTCCTCTTCTCTCAGATAAGCCCAAAGTGATGATATTAAGAGAAATAACTTGGAAACAGTCCACACTCTTATTTCAGCTGATTATTTGCTTTAATGAGATTAAGATTTAAAGAATAAACTTTGATTCATTGCTTTGGGAGACAGGGAAGGAATTGTATGTTTATGTTATTTAGTGTCATTTCTACAGACAGAATATTCACTGCAAAAGTATCTTTACATTATGGAGACTACATGTTTAAGTTGTACAGGTGAAAAATATGAACTTATTTTTAAAATAAAACATGAAACTTCTTTTTGTGCTGTTTTGGGCAAAATAATGTAATGCTTATTACTGAATGATTTTTCTAACCCAATTGCTGTTCCATTTGAAATCATATAAGGAAATATTGAGCATGTTTCAGAAAATATTTGTTAGGAGTAACAAAAAAAATTATATTTCTCCTTTTCGTTGGGAGAGAAGTATGTTAACAGAGTAGGGCTTTTTTTTTTCTATTCTTTTTTTTTTTTTAACGAAACTTTCTACAAAATGGTGGTCTTAAAATAATGCCCCTTTCTGAATTTAATTGTATTGCTTTGAATACTTTGCTGAAACATAACTGACCAAAAAGAAAGAAAGTTGCTTGTTTTTGAAACATGAAGGTAATTTGTCTGGAAAACTTAAAATTTATGCTAATCGGTTCCTGTTTTTCCATAATTTAATTATACCTGGGGAAATGTGTTAAGATATTTAAGGCAAAAGTTTAAGAGAGTTTTACAGCTGTGTAAAAGTTCTCAAATTGGAACAATTGTGTTTAAGCCAGAGCATTTTGCTTCCAGATAAGGAAATTAAATGAGAACGGAATTTTGCTTTTTGGAAACAAAAACAAAATACCCCCCCAATTCTGAAGTGCCTCTACTATAAGACCAGCGCACCCAGGCGAGTACTCTTTCATTTGACTCCGTATTATAAGAATTTGAGGAAAAGTTATTTGCCAGCAATGCCAGTGGTTTGCTGAAACGCAGCGGGTGGGAGGGATGGGGAACACTTTGCCCGACGTGTGGGTCCGCAGTTTTTGAGCAGGAAACCTCGCCCCGGGGCCAGAGAGCCGCTTCCCTAAAATCCTCCGCGGTCGCCGCTCCACCTCCTTCCCCGCGGAATTCTTTTCCCGATCCTCTAAAGGCGCATTGCCACGTTTTCCTGGCTTCCCGAAAGGACGGCGCCAGGGGTCTGTCTGAAGACAGCTCCATTTTAGGTTTGGCCTGTTGGGGGAGTGAGGGTGGCGGTGGTGGTCAGTCCCTGGGGGCCTGGTTCCCTCTCCCCCTTGACCTCACTTCTCTTAGGGGAGACTCTGACCTGTCACAGATAAGGGACCAAGTTATAAATTTTATACATCTGGAAATGCAGTAAAAGTAGTGGATTGTGCCAGGTGTTGCCTTCAAAATAGTGAAGGCAAGGGCTTCTTTTGTTTGGTGTTCTTGGGGCGAAAGGACAAACCTAAACGCCCCTCACTAATGAGAAATCACCAGCTTTCTTTGGAAGGTTTGACTTCTAGAGAGGGGGTGGTGATGTGATGAATAAGGAAAAGGTGACCGGGGAGGGAGGGTAAGGGGAGAGGAAGTTGCTGGGGCGGGAGGTGGAGGGAAAGGGCGGATCCGCTGGCCTGGGGGTCTTGGCGACCCTGGGAGGCTAGCTGGGCGGGAAGGCGCTCGGCTGCGAAGGCGAAGGCGGCGCAGAGGCTGCAGACCCCAGCCCCATTTGCCTGGAGGAGAGCGCGGGTGGAGTAGCTCACCGCAGTGCCACTGCCCCTCCTCCTAGTTTTAAGAAGAACCAAACAAAGCATTGTTTCTGCTGTAATAGAAGTCACTGAAGTCACTCATTGCTTATAGTTGACAGGGACGTTGGCTCAGGCACCTCTTTGGGCTCCTTGCATTGTGCTCTTAGAGGTAAAAGAAAAAAGAAAAGAAAGGAAAAGAAAACGGTGGATGAAATGTGTACTTCGTTTTTTAAACGAAGAAACCTTAGATTGTCATGACCAACGGGCATGTGATAGGTTAATTCCTTAATTTTTCTCCCCAGTGCGTTGATGATTCTTTGTAGGTACCTGAACTCATTCTTAAAACATTTTGAAAGAACTATGGTAAATCAAACTACTAAACATTTGGCTTTCACAAATATAAAACATGCGTTTTGAGTCAAGCACAGGTCTTTCTGGCACTAAAAACAAGTAGGAAATGAGAAAAAAATTAAAACCAGAAGACTTCAGGAAGGTGACAAATTGGAAAGCATTCTAGGAGATTCATAGGACTATTTTATGTGAAAGAAGCACTCTAAGAGCTTAAAGAGATTATGGTCAGTTTTATAAAAAGGATCTTAGGCTCAAAAGATTGGGGGGGTGGGCAGAAAAGACGAATCTATTGAAATGACAGTGCCATATCCCCAAAATAGTAGTATTTTTCTGTGTGTGACTGTGTCTCCCTTGTCAATTTCCTCCCCTCCTCTCCCTTCTCTTCCTCTTGTCTTTTCTACCCACCTCCCTCCCCCAGGTATGTAAATGTATTTGACTTAAATTCCTTGTGAATGAATGTTAGAGGATTTCTCTGAGTTCCCAGTTGGAAAAAGCCTTCTACACAACTTGAAAGGCTGATGTCCCTCTCAGGAAATGAATGAGTCGATAACCTCTGACACCAGTGACCAGTCCAGTGAACCCTACCTTAATTCCACTAATACTGGAGGCCGCCAATCAGGCAAGACTGTGAATCTCATAACCATACCATTCAGTGTAGTTCAGTTATGGTATTTCACACTTTTAGTATATATTTATATATTGATAGTTTTGAGTTACATCAAATTTAAGCATAAACAACAACTCAGAATCCACCTATATGTTGTTTCTGATTTTCTAATTAAACTATTTTCTAATTAAAAATAAACAACAGATAAAATATTGTTTACCATAAATGTGTGTTGGTGACAAAACCAAACTATACTGCTCTGTGAATTTTACAATTACTTTCATATAAATAATAGCACCTCCCTTCAATTTACATGAGTACTTTTTTAGATTATTTTTCTGTTACCAGATGTTGATTTTTAAAAGTAATTCTTTTGTTCAGAATATAACAAAACTTATTTTGTTCAAAATATATAAAACTTATTTTAAATTTTTTCTATTTCCTATTATGTGAAATGTTTCCCCTGAAATGCCATCATTAAAGTTACTTCATTCTAGGTCAGTGTAATCAGTTGATTTCTACTATTAAAATAGTGCCTAAAAATGTTTTGTTAGCAAATAATTTTTTTTGAGAGCTTGGAGCTTTTGTTACTCTTGCAAAATCATTTGGATTTTTACACTTTTGCTTTCTTCCCCAACCAACTGGAAGGTGGTTATTCTCCCCAAAGTAAATAAAATGAGAAAGCTTTGCCTCCTTTCCTGAGAAACAACAAAAGAAATAAACACGAAAAATCTTTCCAAGTTGATCAATCTTGATTGATGCCTTTTACCACAAACAGCTGAAAAGAACATATTTACACACACCCGTTTATTTGTTCTGCAGTAATTAGAATTTATATTTAGTTGTTTACTATGGGGAGGAGGTGTAAAAATAGGTGCATTCTGTGGATTTTCAAAGCTTTTAGATTCAGAATCCCTACATTTTAGTTTGTGTGAAACAGTATTAGAGTTAGAGGAGTGAGGGCATGTTCGGAGATCGGGGAGGGGGATTGCGGGTAAGGTGGGGGAGGGTCAACCCGGTAGCTTTGCGGAAGGGAAGTGGTATCTGTACAGTTTCTCCGTAAACTGCTTGTTTAAGAAAATGGGGGGTGGGGTGGGGGAAAGAGTGGTGGTGCATTTTAATGTTTCAGAGACGGGGTATGTTTTGTATTTTAAAGGAAGTAAGGCATTTCTAGTGGATCTATAATATTTACTGTAGTATTCGATGAGGGCGGTGATATTGGCGTCAGCGTCCAGTCATCAACAATCGTTTGAATCAATTTGAAAGGTAAAGGGTAAGCGTTTTGAAACTGGGGCCAGCCAGAGAAGGGATGGAAGGAGCCTAATCCGTTATTAAATTTTCGCTTCTTCGACTCTTCTGTCCATTGGCGGTGGACTTTTTAAATGTCAGGGTCCAATCAGTATGATACGAATTTACCTTTTCTACTCCACTTGTCCCCTTTCTTCTCCCCTCCCCCCGCCCGCGCCCGCATTTTTTCTTTCCCCCCCCCCCCCCCTTCTCTGGCTCTGCTGCAGCCTGTGCTGGCGCTCCCCTCCCCCTCCCTGCCCTACGTCGTCTTGCTCTTGGGGAACAATCGCCACTGATTGAGGTTCACTCTATGTTAGGCTGGAAAACTGGGCTGTTATTTAGGAAGTCATTAATCACATCTCCTCCCCCGGAAAGAGATGGCGGAGAAACCTGTGAAGTACAATTCCCCGTTCAAAATGTTCCGAAATGATGAACCAAAACATAAATTGAGTACATGAAAGTGCTAGCGATTTTTCCAGTAAGATCTAATTTTAAATCTAAAAAAATTTCGGGGCACGATCAGGGAAATGTGTGCTTTGGTCCTATTGTAGGTGTATGTTACTATTATCTCAAGTTTCATGGAGATGTAATTAGGTTTAATTAGGTCCTTTGTAAATTACACATTTTCCTCTCAGAATTGAGTTAAATATGAATTTCTTTGCCCCAAGCAGGTTGACTGTTACGGAGCAGCTGACTTCTTAGGGGAGAAAAAGCGTAACATTGGTTGCTTTATTTAGAGGGATTTTTCCCCCTAAATGAGATTATTTAGACAGGCTTGTGTGTAAGGCACGCGTGTGCACATATATGACCGTGCCGTTTTTTCTAAATCGACGATTCACAAGGACCCTCCATTGTGTCTAAGTAAAAGCACGAAATCAGCATTCTGATTTATCGCAAAGAAGCGTCCCAAATTGTCTTTAAGATAACATGTTTGAGTTTTTCATGTTCATTCATAAATTATTTTGATGTCAGCATAGATGAAATGGCGATTGGTTATCTCTTCCTCTTGCCAGCCCCTTAAGGATCCGAGGTGAAATTAGTAGCAAGAAAGCATGTAATTGACAAAGTCACGTGGCTCAGGGGGCCAGAAACTGGAGAGAGAAGAGAAAAAAATCAAAAGAGGGAAAGCACATTAGACCATGCGAGCTAAATTTGTGATCGCACAAAATCAAGATGTTAGATTGATTCAGAAGACCACTCCGTTCCAAAGGGAAAGTTTTCATCTCACGAGTTTGGAGCAGAGGGCCCGTGGGGCAACATGGCCGAAGGTTAATTTTCTTTTCTATTGTTTTACTGTGATTTTCTCTCTTCCTTTCTCTCCCCCCCTCCCCCTTTCCCACCCTTCTTTGCCCGTCCTCCCTTCCCCTTTTACCCCAATACTGGGCATTACCCCCACTCCCCATCGCGCAATGGGGCTTTCTGCAACCTATTGTTATAGATCTCCAAAAATGTTTTGTACCGCCCACACTGATTCACAACTTGAAAAGCTTTCAGGGGGCTATTGTTTGAATTGTTTGAGTGTGATTAAGCGCAGTTTCAGTTAGTGAGCCCGAGAAAACTTTTATACACCTGCCCCCTCCCCCATTCCACCCCAACTTTAATTGAAAGTTATTGGGGGGAGGGGAATGCACATTGCAAATAACCCTGGATTCACTGCCGCTGCATGTGTATTAACTAGCTCTAACCATCTTCACGATTTCTCTTTTCTCCTCGTGCCCGCCGGAGAGAATAGTTACGCCGAAATTTTCTTTTTGTAAATGGGACGAGTGTTAAATCAGCAATATGCAAGTAAAGTATCGCATGCTGTAATCGTAATATGTGGCCGAAAAAAATGGAGTTAAATGAAAAAGTACACGTATGTACAGAAAAGTGGAAGTTGATGTGATCGATAGAGCAGTGTGGCTCCCTCCTCCCCCGCTTCCCCTTTTAACCCTTTCATTTTAAATATTTTCTGTAGAAGAAAAGAATCAACCTTTATTGGAGTTTCTTTCTGTTTCCTTCCCCCACCCCCCACCCCCAAGCAGTTTTTTTCTCTTTCAGCGAACAGTTTGGGAATACAGACTAACTGACTTTTTTTTGTCCTGTTCTACTCAGGCGGGGCAGGCAAAGGTGGTGGTGAAGGGCCCGGGAAGCTGCCGGAGCAGGCAGAGGAGGAATCCCAGGTTTTGCACGGAACTGGCCACTGTAAGTGGTTCAATGTGCGAATGGGATTTGGATTCATCTCCATGATAAACCGAGAGGGAAGCCCCTTGGATATTCCAGTCGATGTGTTTGTGCACCAAGTAAGCCAAACTTTTTCCCCCTCTTCTCCTTTTACCATGTGCAGGATTTGGTCAGTAGTTTTGTCAGTGGTCATACGCTGAAAGACAAAATCTTCCTTGCAGTCAGGAGTTAATCCGGTATGTGTATGGTCCCCTTACTGGGTATCTTTTCCTAAACAGAAAATGAAATCTTTGAAATTTCACCGCTTGGCTGCTGGTTGACTTTATTAGCAAGTTCTCCTCTTCATTCGACAGCGAAATTGCTGTAGTGTAGCTTCCGGTGTTATCGGTTACAATATACTTCGTCGTCTGTGCCTAGTGAATGAATGGGGAAATGAATGAAGAAACAGGGATCACTTAAGTTTAAAAAAGCAAACAAACAAACTTTTGCTATTGTAGGACACCTTTTAGACACCTTTAGTCACACCAGCTTCCCCTATTATATTTCTGCCTCCCTGGTAGTCATTTGTAGGTTTAAATAAAAATAATTTGATTTCACAGTAAAATAAGATAGAACACTATTGGTCTACCATGGATTTGATGAAATGCCCAAGGATAGGTTGGTTGGTAGTCAGACATTTAGAAATGCGCTCCCTTTTAGGGCATAGGTCCAAGGAGACTGTCTCTTTAAGAAACTGAACTCAAAAAAGCATGTGGCCAGCTGTGGCTCTAGCTTGTGTGTCTAAAATGTGCTAGTCTGCCACTTTGGGTAAATTTCCACCATTGCTTATATTGTGTTGTAATTTTTTTAAGATGCTTAAATACCAAACAGAATGTCATTGCTTATCATTTTCAGAAATTTACCCAGAAACAAGTAAATTAATACCTCTTCCATTTTTACTCCTCTCTATTGCTTAATCTCATCATAGTAAAAAAAATATATTTAGAATTTGCAGGTTTGATTATTGCATTGAAAGAAGTTAATTCTCTGTAATGAATCCTTAGGAGTAAAGGGATTTAAGACCAAAGAGGTTTGTTTTGGCTTGACATTTAAGTATTAAAAATTGAATGAATGGCATTCAGTACCACAGGTTGCCTGACAGATACATGGAGAAAATAGTATACTTGCATGAAAATTATATATTTTATTTGATACTGTATTGCCCCTTCCTGGTCATGTTTACAACCTCCTTTATCCCCAAGGAATATCATCTTAAAATTAAGTATATAAACAATAGAAACATATGAAACCATTCTGTTTTGATCTGTTGTCCTGTGGTGGTTGGTAGCTTCCTGACCTTGCTGTGTGGTGTATGTTTTCCTTTCCTAAAGGCCTGGCCATCATTATTGGCTGTTTACATGTGGAAGGATCAGCATAATCTGTGAATTGAAACAGGGTTTAAATATGTAAATAGTAGTCCATAGACAGGCTACTGGATTTTATGCCTCCTACTTTATATTGTAAAATGAACCTACATTTTCAGCTTTTTCCCTCCCTAGACTGAATGACTTGAAATCATTGACAAATTCATTTTCTCTCAGGCTCTGGCTTTCCCCACTTTGAACCTTCTTTAGGTTGTTAAATTGTTCTTTACGATCTCATAAATTTGTTTTATAGATGAATGAAAAAAAATAGCCCTTTTCTTCTTTGATCACACCTTGTTATAATTTGGTTTTCTATGTTTTCCTTTTAATACTTTCAAATGCTAGACATTTTATTAACCAATATTAATGTTGAGAAGAACCACAAGACACCCAAATTTAAGGTATTTAATGATTATATGTTGGTAAACATATGTATGTCCACTGAATTATGAAATACCCTATTGCGGGAAAAGTTTTATTTATAGATTGTAAACAGTTTCTAGAGTACAACTATAGATTATTAACATTCAATTGCTTTAATCCTCTGTTCCAAGTCATGTATTTACTCAAAAACGTATTAAAATGGGGAGATAAAATGTATTTTTCAGAAGGATATATCTAGATACATTCTTGGGAAGAAGTATGTAAAAAAGTTGATAAAACTTAAGTATTAGCATTTTTGTGATGTAAAAAAAGAGCAGTGATATTCTTTAAATTTGAAATTAGAAAGTGATACTTTAGGGAGTTTTTTTGATGGCTACAGTATTCATTTTTTGAAATATGTTTCACTTTTTTACTAGGGAAAATTATTGCTTTATTTTTTTCTTCTTGATTTTAGGCTTTGGGAGGAATTTCTGTCTTCTATTGGGACTTACACAAATTGCATATAAATCATATGAATAATTGTTCTGAAAAAGGCAGAATCCTACAGATTGTAGCCAGGCAATTTCAAGTAACAATTAGATGGTCATAAATGATCTGTGCAGGTATATTGTCAACATCACTTACACAATCAGGTTGCAATTCAGGACCATTTTACAACAGTTTTTAAAATACTTTTAAAATCATTCTTTTATTGCCATTTTTACTGTACGAGAATTTTTGAAAGCATACCACATTAATGTATCATTCAAATTAATTTTTTCCCTGTAATGTCTATGTGCTATTTTGTTATGAAAGAATAAGCATTGTAGATAATTAGGAATTTTAAATGTTTAACTGTACAATATCATTATTTTAAATACATGCAATTTCTTTTTGAGTATTCAGAAGTACACGTGTCATTGGATTTTTTTAAGTATTATGAAACATTTTTAATAGTATATATTTGGGGAAATAAAAAAATAATTTTAGTTTAATATAATATTTAAAAATTTATGCCAAGGCTCCCAGGATTTTTTTCTCTTGAAAAGATACTAACTACAGATACTTCAATAATAAATAAATGTATAAAAAACATACAATTAAATAGGACTAGCAAAAAAATCCTGACTGCAAAGAACTGCACATCAAAAACAATTTAGTTGCTATGAAATGAAGAGAAGATATGCATATATATTGTTCATTTGCTCTGAAATGAAGATATGCATGTGTACTTTTAAAATAGAGCTGTACATTTTTAGTTACATAATTCTTCTTAAAGTATGTTTGCAAGAATACAGTCAAACTTCTAGTCTCTGTAATGTCACCAACTTCTCAAAAATAAACATATGACTTAGCTAATGTACCTTCCCTGTCCTTAATTGTTGATAAATGCAGTGAGGACTCTGCTGTTTGAGGATGGTGTGTGACCATTGGTGGTTTAAAATGTCAGTCTTATTTGACTTCCTAATATTGTGATTTAAATGGTCATATGATTATGGATTGGTAATAATTATATGTATTCTGACACATTAATATAGAAACCTGATAGTGTTTAATAATATTTGTAAAAACTTACAAGAATGTGTAAATATTTTGTGAATTTCCTTAAGCTTATTGCTTTCGAGTTGTTCCTTAAAATATTTAATATTTAAAATTTGACAGTTTTCACGATGACTTATTTGTAACTAGGGTATATTTGTAGGAATTTCTTACTTTAGAATCCAGTGCAAAACACAGAGATTAGTCTTTCAATTGAAGTAAGAATATGCATACATGGTTAATACAGATTTGTAAGTCTAGGTTACTAGTAAGGTGATGTCATCAATGTACAGTTAGTGTGTAAGTGTTAATAATTAATAACTTCTATTAGTTTATTATTAACAGTTAAAAAAATTGCATCCACAGTTAGATTGTGGGATAACATGTTTAAATTACTTGGAAAGTTCTCTTGTAACTTTTTGAAATGTTATAAACTTTGATAGGACTTAAATATTTGATAATATTTTAGATAAGTCACGTGGTAATTAAAATGAGATCCTTTTGGAGAGGGGCAGTGTTACCCAGTAACTACCTGTTGATGTTTATTATAATTTACGTTTCCTTTACATAAATTTTGATGCTTATTTCCAAATAAATATTCTCTCTCTCAGTGAGATAAACTTTATTTTGTTCAGGGGAGGGATAGAATCCGTTCTCCTTACTGCCCTCTCTTCAGCTCACTTGCATAATATTTTCTTTGTTTGTTAGTTATATATTTGGAATTCTTTGCCATCAATTATGGTATACAGAATTTTTAACATAAATGTATTTCATCTATTTCACTACTTATGTAAGAATTTCTTCTCAAAGGGAGTAATTTCAAAATGACTAATTCACCTACCATTACTTGATAGGCTTAAGTACTTATTAATAATTTGGTTGGAATTCTTAATTTACCTTTCAAATATGTTGGTATTTTCATCTTATGCTCTTTATTTCTGGTTTGTAGTTTGATCTTAATGGAAAACACAATTGTCCATATTACGGCGATTTTATATATTTTATGTTCCTTTTATTACTTTGTTCAGAAAACATCTCAAAGTAATGGAAACAGAAGAAATAAGAATAATTACTGTAACAGATAAATTTAAAGCATTTTTATTAATAGTATAGGGTATAAAAACATTTGGAGGTTAACAGTTTTTAAATATATGAACATTTGAATCATATGCAGTTCAGTTGATGTAGAATAGAGTTCATGTCTCAGTGATTAATTAATTATACAATTTATGAAAACATTTACTCCAGTGTGTTCATGTTTAAGGATTTTTCGTAGTATTTCATCACCAACTTATTAGTCATCTTTGTTTTTATCGTAGTTTGGCATGAAAACATTTTTCACATGTAGAATAGATGTGACTATTATTATTCTTGGGACTCTTGAAAATGTCAGTTTCAAAAATTATTTAGACAAAGTAAAATCTTGGAAATTAAAAAAATATCATATAACAGAGCTCATTTGTTAGCGAGTTATGTATAATTTCATATTTGAAAATGGTTCCTAATGCTACCAGGTTTTCAAGATGATTTGCCCAGTTGACCAGTTTGGAAGAATCCCAAATGAAATAAAGCTATTTAATCATAAAATCATATTTGAAATCATTTAAATCCAAATTTTATGCCTTTTATTGTCTTTACAGATATTGGATACTTCTGATTTTCAAATGCTGGTCCATTTTCAAGACCCTTTTTTGTTTACTTCTAAAAAGATACTTTTATTCTAATTCATTTTAAACATGAAGTATGAATTGGGCACATTTAAGACAGTCTTCATGTTAAATAGTATTGATGAATATCAACTATACTTCAATAAA